CTCTTTCTTTATTGATTTTTAGAGAGAGGAAGGGAGAGGGAGAGAGAGAGAGATCAATGCAAGAGAGAAACATTGGTTGGTTACCTCCTGTATGTGCCCTGACTGGGGATCCAACCGACAGCTCGATATGTGCCCTGACTGGGAATCAAACCGGCAACCCTTTGGTGCACAGGATGATGCTCCAACCAATTGTGCCACACATGCCAGGGCAATGACACTTATTCTTAAATGTGTTATACAAGCTCACTGACACTATTAGACTAGCACCAGTGAACTTCAGTTTTATAAATGGGAATCATACAATATCAAAGGCTAAAAAAAATTGCAAAATACCTTCGGAAGGTAATTTTTCATAATATCAAGAGCCATAAAACTGTTCACACTCATTGATTTAGGCATTACACTTTCAGAATATATCCAATAACAGGGATTTCCACTCTTTTTTGTAAATCAGTGCATCCAGAATGTTCCCATAGATGGCACATCCATTCCTAGATTATAGCTAAAGCCTATTTGATCTAGGATGTGGATTATGTACAATTCCATTTCTTGCCACTAAAGAAAACACATTCCATTAAAAGATGTTATTCTGGGAATAATTCGAATTAAGCAAATAACTCACCAAATGCAGCATTTCACTTATTAATAAATTGTTTGGAAGTTCTGCAACCTATCAAGACACAGCAGTGTCTTGGCATTTAAATCGAGAACTGTCATCGTTATGAAAGAATGAAAAGGTGCAAATACATATGACTTGGGTAATAATGGTGGTAATAACATCAGCTCTTTCATAACAAATTCCTCATTGCCTCCTCACGAAGGTCCTGTGAGGTAGAAAGAAGGGATTTATACTTTCTGGTCTCCAGGTGGAGCCATGGTTTTCTATTCGTGCAAAATAAGTTCAGAGCCAGTTGGGGAGCCAGCAGGGCATGATGGGTAGAACATGGCCTGGGGGTCATATGTCCTGAACCACGTTTTCTGGCTGTGACTCCTTGGGCATGTCATTCAACTCCTGGGTCTCATTTTACTCAAACTCCTTCCAGAGTTGTTGAGGGGTTTCAATGGGGTACTGGAGGTGAATGCACTCTGAGAGGTCAACACTGTACAAAGATGACCTGTGTTATTGTGCTGGCTCTGTCCCTGAGCTGGGACCTATAATAATGCTTCAGGTCCAAGAGGTGGCTTTCCCTTTATCCACTCATGTTGAGTAACACTCCAGGATTCCTAGTAGGTCTTTATATTGGCACCCTTAATACAAAAAAACACAATGATAACAAGGCAAAATAAATATTTATTAGAAATCATCAAAGCATTTCTTCAAGGACACTAAAATCTTCTTACTCTATTTATGACTTCTTTCTTGAACATCGAGTCTCACACACACAAAACTAAGAACAAGTATGTAAATTAGAATTTACAAGGATAAGGCACATTCAATGAGAACAAGATGATAATTCTGCATGTGGAACCAAGATCACAGTAAAGAACATGTAAACCAATGCAGAAATCAAGTATGGCTTACAGGCCAGGAGGAGGGCCCCGCTGCCTGGGTCCCGCCCAAAGCAACAGGACACAGCTCTCCGGGCCTTGAGGAAGGAAAGGAACGTCAATAACACTGGGCTCTCTCGGGCAGGAGCCTTCTAAGAGCTTCATGACTTCACAGTACAACCTCGCACACCTTCTCCCACACCCCAGGGAGGAAGGTGAGCACCATTTTTATTCCAAATAGATTCATCACATGATGTCTAGAATAATGGATTATTCCTGAGGCAGAGTTTAGCTAAAGGAAAATTTCCAGCTCAAATCATTACCGGAGCATGAGAGATTCTATCCCTGGAAAATGCCTTCCCCTTAAATTGCTGAAATGTAAATCATGGCGTTTTAACATGCCCTAATATGCCCATGGATTTAGTGTGGCCTGGTGTGTGTGTGTGTGTGTGTGTGTGTGTGTGTGTGTGTGTGTAGACCGTCAACATGAATCACCTGAGCAAGAAGCCATAGCCCGCTGACATATGCCAACCACAAAGGCAGACTCAAATTTACTGAGTAACTGCTTTTTAAAATGATGGTGCAGGGGGACATCTGTGGTCCAGAAATCTGAACACTCCAGTTTCAACAGCTCTGCTATGACTTCCTGCCTGACTATGAGTAAGTGTGCTTTCCTTTCTGAGCTTTGGTTTTAGGTGTGAAATAAGGGGACTCGTCCTTTTAACCTGATGCTCTTTGGCCCACTGCTTCCCTTCACCTGAGAAACCCATCTAGGCTCAGACTAGACAGACTGAACGCCTTCTGGGGATGGCTATCCAGTACAGCAAATTCTATCCAGCCCCACAGCTTTCCGTACATGTGAGAAGACAAAGATCCCATTGCTGATGTCTACTTCCCTAGCCTCCCAAGAAATGGAAATGGCTTTATCCATGCATATGGGAGTCAAAGCAATTCTGGAATTCCCAGCTCCAGTGTGTAGAGCATGGCGCCATGGACCCAAATGGCTGCCCTTCAAACCAAGACATCTGTTCTCGATGTATGTAAACGGGTAACTCTAGGTACAGGATGCCAATCTGAAGGCTAAAAGGACCTTAAAGTTCACCTGACTGTGATCTTTAACATCATCCCTAATAGGTCCTCAACCAGCTTCCGCTTAAACATCTCCAATACCTAGAGCAGCTGTAGGACTGAATGGAACCAAAATCTTTCCCCTGAAATTTCCCACCTTTGGCACTAGCGCTGCCCACATCTGGCACACATCTGCTCCTCCCGCCTCCATAACAGGCCTTCCCTTTCCCAGAGGACATGCCTAGTCCCTGCTCACACCTGAGCCTGGTCTGACCACTGTGGTGCAGAGCATGGTTGGCGCCTGGGTCAGCTGGAAGGGCATGGGCTGCTGCAGACTGTGTGGCTCTCAGGCTGCATCCTTGACCCATCCCATCTCTCCCTGACCCGGCCCATCAGGGGCACAAAGGCCAAGTTTCCACTCACCCAGGTGCTGGCACACAGAACAGCCCAGAGCCGAGAAACAGCCCAGAGTGGCTGCTTGGTTTGCACTTCTCCATTGGCCTCAAGTCAGATTAACTAGCCAATCGCCACATCACCTGAAGGCCAAATTCATTTTTGCGGCATTTCAAATTAAATTCATGGTTAATATACTTGTCATTCCTCCTCAACAATTCCCACATGAATCCTTTTACCAGACAACCAAGGCGGAGCGGCTCCAGACATCTGGGACATTTCTTCCCTCTCTACTTCATTTCTGCCCCCAGACTGGCTCCGTGTGATTTCAGGGGGAGGAAACCAGAGGATGAGGCTCTAAAAGCCAGCCACTCATCTTGGCAAATGCGCCTTTCTCAACCTTTTCCTCAGCTTCCAAACTCACAGTTAACAAGAATCTTTAGTGCCAGAGCGTTTCAGGTCTTCTGTTGAATTCCTCCGATGAGAAACACTGACGTATGAGAGTCACCTCTGGGATGTCAGGCCATATAAATAGAGCAGCTGCTATTTCTGTTTCAGGCGAGGCTGGGACCCAGCTTGGAGGCGGGCACTACTGCAGGGCCGGGGCGAGGAGGAGAGCCAGGCTCTCTCACCCCATCACAGCGTCCAGCTGGCGCCGGAGTCAGCTGCCAGTGCCGGGGCCGCCTCACACTGTGCACGTCTCATCTGGACCTTTGTGCGCGCAAAGAAAAGCTTTTTGTTTTTGCCCCGGCCACCCTGAGGCCTAGTACACAATACTTCCATCCAGTCCCAAACCCTCAAATCTACTTCTCCACTTTTAAAGTCATGGACTTCATCTGAAGTGTTTTTCATTTAAAACTGAAATGTCCTTTTTCTATTGAAAATAAAATAATAATAATAATAATAATAATAAACAGTGTTAATTACACTACGAAAAGTCTCTCACTTTGAGACAGTTTGAGCCTTGGGGTGCCAGTGGGCACTCATTCCAAGGGTAGTTTCTGTTCCCTGAAGGTTCTGGAAGGGCATTTCCATAACTCACACCCCCCTCCCCCAGGAGATCGGACTTGCTCAGTCCCCTGTATGTTCTGGGATGGGACCAAGAGTCCCTTCAATTCAGAAGCCCCAGTCACAGCAGGGGAGAGGAGGGATGTGTGGGCTGCGGCTGGGGCTCCCAAGGAGATGTTGGCAGGAAGAAAGTTCTGCTCCTCGGGCCCTGCCCCTTCCCTACCGCTCCTCTCCCAGCCGAGCTGACCTGGTCACCAGCTGGTGAACCCAGGGATTTCAGGAACCCCAGGTTCAGGACTGCTGGCCATCCGTCCACACAAACTCTTCACCAAGTAACAAAATCCAGGGTCTCTTCCACGCAGAAAACTGACAACTGCCTCTCAGTTCAGCCCGAGGGTGCTTTCTGCTTCCAGGCGGGCAGGGCCAGGCTCCATCACGAGGCAAAGCCCTCAGCACGCAGTCCTGGATCAGCCTGCAGCACCCATGCGCACACCAGCTCCGGATTCTGCTGCTACACTGAAGTTTCCGGGAACTCATCTATTTCTTCAAACGCATTGAGGGTGGTTTTGCTGTTGCTCCTGGAAGAATCTTGGATTTTGTTGAAATCTGCTTTAAAACAAACAAACACTATTTTAGAAATACAGCAGTCTGCAAGGTCGGTAATTCCATGCCTCACTGCACCACCCACTTTGCCGCTGCCTGATTTTTGGAAGTTATTCCAACTAGGGTTCTAAAACATCAGAATTGGAAGGGACCTGAGAACCAATTTAATTCAATCCTCCCATTTCACAGATGGGGAAAATCAGGGCCCTCAGACTCAGTCTGCCCAAGGTCGCATGGTCACACGTCCTACCTGTCCGCCTCACGGACCCGGGATCTTCGTTGAGGAAGGAGACGTGTGTTTTCCATTCAGTCCACTTCACCTCGTTGATCCTGCGAGTGTAAGAATCATTCGCACTATTTCACAACTGCACCTCATTAAATACAAACAAATAGCATGGCCTTTGGGGGTCCTTGACAGCTCCCCTCTGTCTGTCCCAGGGATCAGGGTTTGAAACCTGCCCAAGTCCCCATTTTCCCAGGCCTCCGGGGCTCAGTCTCCTCTCAGTGTGTGAGACCCCAAAACTCAGAGAGGCATCACGGGGACATCTTCAGACAGCAGCAGTGTGCCTGACTGGTGAGGGCGGTTCATGGGGAAGGAGGGAGGGGAGGAGAGGAGGACGGAGGAGGAGGGGTTAGGGCCCCAGCTGAGAGGATGTGCGGGTGTGAGGATGAAAAGCCCTGCCCTGACTGGTTTGGCTCAGTGGATAGAGCATTGGCCTGCAGACTGAAGGGTCCCAGGTTCGATTCCGGTCAAGGGCATGTATCTTGGTTGCGGGCACATCCCCAATAGAAGGTGTGCAGGAGGCAGCTGATCAATGATTCTCTCTCATCAATGTTTCTAACTCTCTATCCCTCTCCCTTCCTCTCTGCAAAAAAACAATAAAATATATTTTTAAGAAAAAGAAAAAGAAAAGCATAGATGTTTAACTAGGGTTAAGGTGGCATTAGAACAGCCGTGGGCAAACTATGGCCCATGGGCCGGATCCGGCCCGTTTGAAATGAATAAAACTAAAAAAAAAAAGACCATACCCTTTTATGTAATGATGTTTACTTTGAGTTTATATTAGTTCACACAAACACTCCATCCATGCTTTTGTTCCGGCCCTCCGGTGCAGTTTAAGAACCCATTGTGGCCCTTGAGTCAAAAAGTTTGCCCACCCCTGCACTAGAAGGAGGTTGGGATTCAAACCCCCAAAGAGTGAGCAGTGTCTACGGCAGAGGTCCTCAAACTTTTTAAACAGGGGCAAGTTCAACACCCGGCGGGCCGGATAAATGTTTTCGGCGGGCCGCATGTGGCCCGCGGGCCGTAGTTTGAGGACGCCTGGTCTACGGTGTTGGATCACAACTGGCGGCGGCAGTTTGGCTAAAGTTCACACTCAGAGACCATCTCTAGAGTGAATATGTCAGAATCAGAGACAATTACAGTCGGAAATGATGGCAGGGTCGGGGGGGCGGGGGGCTATCTCAGTCAGAGAAATAGAAAGGAAGGTGGTCTGCAGGGTCAGGCAGTCAGATGGGGTAGGAAGAGGTGGACTGAGCAGGAAAGACAGTCATGGCAGGTGCAAGCACTTTTTTAAAATCAAAAAACGTGATATTTGTCAAAGGCAGCTGCCTCATTTCCATCGCCAGTGACAGTGTGCCTCTGTCCCCTAGTGTCACTGAAGCCACAGGGTGGACAGAAGGACAGAGTGCCCCTTGGAAAACCTTTCCTAAACCAAACACTGGAAAGGGAGAGGCTGTGGGGGCCCCTCCACCCCCACAGAGAGGGGACCAAGGCAGCAGAGCCTTCCTGTCCTCCTGCAGCTCAGGAAGCCTCGTCCAGGCCAGCGACCCCAGAGGGCACATTCGCCTTCTGGAGGGTCCAGAACAGAGCGTGGCCGTGGGTGGCACGCAGGGGGCGGCACTGCTTCTCTCGCATTCACCACCGGCCTCCTACCCACCAAAGGCACCCCCAAGGGCCCTCTCCCTCTGTTACCGCAGGCACAGCCGGAAATCTTCCTCGGCCACTTTACACAGCTCCCCCGTCCGGAACCTGCTCCTCAGCCATTCTGGCAGCATCTTCTCAAACTCCAAGATCGTCCTGGCTCTCTGGGGACAGAAACCAGCCTAAGCACGTCGCTGGGGAGCCAGCCCAGGAGCACAGTTGTGCACAAAGTGCACACACACTAGTATATGTATACATCACACACAAGTGCATGCATACATAAGCACGCACACAAAGTACACACACACAAGTGCGTGCACACACAAGTCCATGCACACATACACAAGTGCACACACACAAAGTACATACCCACAAGTGCATGCACATATACACACACAAGTGCACGTGCACACACCACCAAACGGCCCACCCCACCCCCACTGGAAGCTTAGTGCATAGATCCTGAGGTTAGACTAATCTACAGAATTCAAAAATGAAAAACCAGAAAGCTTGGAGAAGGTGTCCAAACTGCTTTAAACATGGCATAAACAATGTTTCTGGAAGTCCAGGCGCTTCCTAACTGAAAATGTTAGGATCCTGGTCCCACAGTGACGGGAAGTGCCGGTGTCACGTGGTCCCATTTCCATCCCGGGCTTGGAATCCCCTCGGCAGTTTTCCTGTCAACAATTTTGTCCAATCGCTCCTAAATATTATCGACAAGCCTATTAAGAAGACCCTAGTCACTAGAAATTTCCTTGCCTCAAATCAAAGCTTTTTTTTTCTTGTAGTTGCCCCATATACTTCAGTTCTGCCTTCTGGGGTCATAGAGGGAAGGTGCTCCCTCTTTCAAAAGTAGCTCTGCAGGTACCTGAAGAGATATCACCTTCGTCAAGCCTAGCTTCAGTGCCATTTCTTGTAAGGCATGGTTTCCCGGCCCCTGCAAAGTCTGCTCACCACCTCTGGCCATTACCGTAGTGGTGTCCTCAGCATGTAAGGCCCACCGTAGGTGAGGACTGTTGAGGGCAGGATGGAGGAGAGCAGAATTGACACCTCCATTGTGCTATACCCTTATACTCCTCTTGATGTAACCTAAAGTCACATTTCAACATCCACATATCACACCAGACTCTGAGCCGAGCACCCCCATCAGCCTGAGTTGCTCTCACACCTGCTGTTGACCCTATACTCAAGGAACCTAGGCGGATGCTTCCTCAAACCTGGCCAAGCACAGGGACCTTATGCAGATCCCCAGGCCCTGCCCCAGGTCCACCAGTGCTGATGGCCAATAGCGTGTAGTGAGCTGAGTCCCCGTGAAGGCTCCCACGCCAGGGTCTCCACCAGGCTCACCTGCAGGCGCCAGATGCGCTCACTCTCCTTGGAGACGTTCTCAACCGTCTCTCCCATGAGGGCGATGAGCATGTTGAGGAGGAGGACGAAGGTGAGGATGACGTAGGTGATGAGCAGGAACAGGAAGAGGATGGGGTACTTGGAGTTCTGCTGGATGTTCAGGTCGCCCAGGCCTATGGTGAGTTTGAAGAGTTCCAGCACAGCATCGCTGAAGCTGCCGTAGGAGCTGCAGTCCTTGTGGTCCTTGGGGCACTTCTCAATCAGCGAGGCCAGGGCTGGGAGGACATCACAGGGTGCTCTCGTCAGCCTCTGGGCCTGGTTAATTACCCAACAAGCTCATGCCTACTTGCAGGTACACCCATGCCCCCACACACTGCAGGCCTGCCTCCTGCCCGCTTCCTCTGGCCCTTTCAGTTCCATCTCCAGCCCCAGCTCTTCCAGAAGCCTCATCAGGCTGATTCGCTGCAGAAACCCCTTCTTGCCTAACAAAGCCCATACCCTTCTGTGCCTCCTTTGCCCCACCGTCCGGCCCTTGATCGCTCACAGCCTTGCAGAGTTGCTAATGATAATCTCTGTGTGGCCCTGGCTCCCCATCCAGGCTTTGAGCTCCCGACTTGCTGTAGCCCAGGCCATCTCCCCGAGACTGTGAGGTCCTGAGTGTCCTCCCAATGCTCTGTAGTGAGATCCCCTGGCCGAGGCCTGAAGCCCTTTCTTCTCTACAGCACTGGCTCTTTGCTGGCTGGAGGGGTGGGTGGGTAGGTGGGTGGATGGGTGGATGGTCAAATTAATGAGTGAGTAAATAGATGAATGAATACACAAGATAATGAAAGATCAAATATAAATAGGCAAATTATGACACAGAAAGGGTATCAGGCAGATGAAAACAGATGCTTAACTTCAAATGCCAATGACCACTGGGGGGAAAAACGGGCATGGAAATATAAAACTTCATCTCCCCATGCAGAGGTCAGACATAGGACCAGGTTGTGCTGTTCCCATCTGTTGTAGATGGAGAGGTTTTAAGAGGAGGCTCCCCATCCCTGGTCCCCAGCAGACCAAAGGCTCTCCCAGGTCTGTCTGAAGCGAACCCTGAGATAACATAATGGAGGGCCAACGGGGATTACCTCAATTCACTACTTCTCCCCCCGTTTTCAAAGGCCATCAATCACATTTCTGTGAGTTCATTTCCCCATCTGTAAAATGGGGCCCAAAACAGCTGCCCGGCCTCTCTCAGGCTGTGAGGGTCTCATGGGTGGATGTGAAAGTGGGAGGCATACCCCACAGTGGGGATGGGTAAGAGTGACGGGCCTGGTCGAATCCTAGAGTCTAAGCCTCAGTCGCCTGATGATCGGAGATGATGATTCCCCCCTTGACTGAGATGCGTGAGAAGAAGATGATGATTGGAAAATGCTAAGCACAGCAAGGCTCTGTGGGTAGCTGATGTCATTGCTGCTGGGGCCGCTATGTGCTCTGTCATTCTGACATCTGTATACAGTGCTTTACAAAAGTGGGAGTTACTATTATTTATAAATCAATTACCTACTCCGAATCCGAGTAAGAACACGATATATACAAACAAGAACTTCAGAACATCATGCAAAATGACCTACAAAGAAAAAAGAATGATTTGAGGGTAAGATCTGAGGACGGAATCACCATACACTGATCTCGCTGCTTCCCACGCTCTCCCAGGCTCCCACCCTAACCATGGCCTCAACTCAGGCCGTTCTCCCTTGCCCTTGGCCACGTCCCCCTGGTGCTCCAACACTCAGCTCTGGACCCCACCTTCTCCAAGAAGCCTCCTGTTCCTGCTCTCCTCCCTCCTCCCCACTCCCTCCTGGAAGACAGTTGGCCTCTGTCCCTGCGGATTCGCCCTGTCCATGAACACCTCTCTTCACAGTCTCGCATCTGGGATCCCCCCTCTTCCTGGGGCAGTGGTGTGCTGGAGCCAGCTCCTACCAGCTCACCAGAGCTGACTACTACCATTTCCTGAATTGTGTGAGCTGGTTGTTAAACATGGCCACTAATAAAAATTAAATCATATCAACTTATAAGTAAATATATTATATGAAAAATAGAGATAATAGTCAAAACTCATCACTTCTTAGTTATTTTACTACATTTTAGAGTTATTTATGCTCTCAAGGTTATTTACATCTATTGTAGCTATATGGTGGAAATACTATTAATAGTGTTACTGTGCATCTCTTCCCAGCTCCGTGTTCAAAGATGTCATGTTGGTAGCTGGAACCGTTAGGGTGGGAGTAGTTATACCATAGAAATTGGTAAATGTGCCCACCAGTGTGGCTCAGTTGTTGAGCATCGACTCATGAACTAGGAAGTCATGATTCGATTCCTGGTCATGGCACATGACCAGGTTGTGGGCTCGACTGCATGTGGGAGGCAGCCAATCAATGACTCTCTCTCATCATTGATGTTTCTATCCCTCTCTCCCTCTCCCTTCTTCTCTCTGAAATCAATAAAAATATATTTTTTAAAGAAATTGGTAAATGCTACAAGTCAGAGATTGACTCATTGTTTTGTTGATTGCCTAAATCTAGATGTAAGACAGCAATGGAGAAAATGTTAAAGCAAATTAAACTTAAAAATGTGTCCTATCTGTAGCTGCTACATTGTGAATAACACAATAATAATGAAATCATCTTCTAGTATTTGAACACTATTATCTAACTCAGCAAAGAAGTGGCTCACATCATTGACAAACAACTGAAGTTCCGCCATGTCTTCATTTTCACCTTCGTGTTATCCCTTAAACAAAAGCATCAACCAACACTTGTGTTGGAAGAACACTCGTTTGTCAGTTGAAACCATCGGTTAGCAACAGATACAGGCATTCAACAAAAATCAACAACTTACTCCGTGAGACTCACCTAGCTATGTGGAATTTACTATACAGAGTACTGTATGTTTTATTAGGAAGGAAACTGTGTACTACATCCTTTAAATAGTAAATTTTATAATAAACATGTATGTATCTGTGTGTGTATGTATCTCTGTGTATGTGTGTGTGTCTGTGTGTCTGTGTGTGTGTCTGTGTGTGTATGTGTGTGTGTGTCTGTGTGTCTGTGTGTGTGTCTGTGTGTGTGTGTTTCCCAGAGAGCCAGCTGTTAAATACTTACCAGCACACCCCTGCCTGGAGCTGAGAACATTCCTTCCCAAAGTGCATCCCTTCTCAATGCCCAGCAAGCCCAGGCATGTTAGGGTCTGGGCACTTACAGCTGACCAAAGGCAAATGGAGACGGTGGCATTCAGAATAGAGAGCAGCAGTCTGCCCCGTGGGCAAGCCCCCTTTGCTCCCCAGGCCTCAGTGTCCCCATCTGAGGAGTGACCATCCTCTGAGGGCCTTCCCAGCCTGCACATCTCCGACACTCGGAGGCCCCAGACGAACCTTCTGGATCATGACGCTGTACATGCCCATGGACTGGAACCCCCGCGTGTAGTAGAGCATGTTCGCCCAGCCCAGGGCCATGGCCAGCACGAGGCAGGCGAGGTACTCTTTGTAGGCAAACAAGTACAAGAAGACAGACAGTATCACAAGCACAGCTTGGACAAAACTGTTCAGGAGACACAGGAGACAAGGGCCTTACTTACTTCTCAGCATCAGGGCAGGTAGGCAACCCCGCCCCACACACACACCCCTCCCTTTGAACCCTGAACCGGCACCCTGGCGGCTGATGCTGAGGAGATGGATAAGGCTGCCCAGACCCGTCAGACTGGGCAGTCTGGGGCCAGCAGGGGGCTGGAGCGACGGACTTTTTAAAAGCACAGCTCCCCAAGGCCCCACCAGATCCTGGTCAGAAGACCTGGAGAGCAGCCCCGGAGGCTGTACGTGTTTAAATCACCACGTGATTTCTTTGTTAAACCCCTCTATGATTCTCACATAGATTCACAGCGAAAGGGTGCAGTGGATAATTGCATTTATAATCAGAATGATAAAAGCTGACAACATCTATACGTATAAGCCAATCATAACAAAAGTATCCTCAAACCTACTTTTTTATTTTATCTTTTCACAGCATGGACCAACCTGGAGATGATTATGCTAAGTGAAATAAGCCAGTCACAAAAAAAAAAAATAAATAAATACTGTATGATTTCACTGATATGCTGTCCTTAGGGTGGTCACATTCATAGAGACAGAAAGTAGAATGGAGGTCACCGAGAGCTGGGGGAGGGCGATGGGGAGCTGTTGTTTAATGCGTGTAGTGTCAGTTTTGCCAGATGAAAAGAAATCTAGAGATCGGCTGCACAGCGCTGTGAACACTGAAAAATGGTTAAGGTGGTAACTTTTATGTTGTGTGTATTGTCCCACAACTTAAAATGTTTGAAGTACCACATATCCCAAATGTGCAAGATCAAAACCTACTCCTAAGCAGTGTGTACGCCAGCAGTAACTCGGACCTCTGGGTAAAAACCTTCTCTCACTTATAACATCAGTCCGCACCGTTGGAAAATGACCGGTTAAAGCTAGGACACAGGCAGCCTTGTTTTTCTTGTCCAGTGAAAAGCAAGTGTTTGGGTGATGGGTGCCTTTGGCGCTGAAGGGAGGAAGCACATCCACACCTTTGCCTACGCTAACAAAACAACCCAGAAGCAGAAAAGCAGGGCCATGCACGGGTGCCTTTTGTCTGCACTGGAACCATTGGCTGCCTTAATGGTTTTTCTCTGGAATCACCATACTTTCCAAAGGTGACAAACTCTCATGTGACTTGCATGGGGGGCGGGGGGGCAGCGCCGCCCCCCCGGCCATCCTTCACTGCAGTGTCTGAGGCCCCACCTGCCCACAGGGATGGAGAGCCCGGTTCACGCCTCTGGCAGGCAGGTACATCCTGAATGAAACACCCAGGCAGCTGGAAACATCGGGCCAAGCTTCCAGGTCCTGTAGACCCACCCTCCCGGAGAACTCAGAGCAGGAACTTCAGGGGCATCCGCGCAGTGAGGAAGCCAACATTCTTCAGTGCTCGCTGCAGGTTTAATCAGCCTCTGCTCAATCAGAGAGAGGACCCCTGAGGTCAGCCGCACACGACCTCTTTCAGATAGGTCTGGGCGAGGCTTTCTGGCAAGAGCCCAATGGTAGCCAAGCCTGCACTGGCATGAGGAGAAGAGGGTGGAGAGGCTGGGACTGGCTTCAGGACCACTGAAGTTCCGAGTGACTGTGAGGGACTCACTTCCCTGCTCTGGGCCTCAGTTTCCATACCAGCAGGTGAGACTCGATGATCCTCAAATACTTTCCAGGTCCCATCTGCCAGGGTCCAAGATGGTACGTCTAGACCCCATGCAACTTGGAGGCACTGGGCTGGAAACCTCCAGAAGAAGGTGGACAGCAGGGCTGAGCCTCTCGGTGCCTTCCCCCGGCTGCCTGCCGCCTGGGGCTCTGTGGCAGGGTGGAGTCAGCCATCCCTGCGGCCAGGTGATGGGCCCTGTCCTCCGGTTTTCTGGGCGTCTCTCTGGGCATCTGTGTCTCTCTCACCAGAAGGGAGAAAGGCGGCCCCTCACCACGGGGGTGTGGCAGAAGGGCTGGGACAGGGTGACACAGTAGGGCAACTGTTTCAGAGGGACACAGCAACCACCAGATAGGACCTCAGCCCTGCCTGTGAGGTGGCGACCGAGGGGACGGACCTACTTACAAGACAAAGTGAAACCAGGCATCCGAGAGGATGGACTGCAGATCTGAGGCTCAGCAGGA